TTTTACTGTAGTCGGTTAGCAATATACACTTAATTTGTCTAGTGACTGGGACGAAAAGCAAGCTAGGTGAGGGCGTGGGTTCAAATCTCAGTGGAAATTTTTTTTCTTTTTACGAATTTCTGAATGATTTCGGATCAAATTCACTGTATTTGTTCGTCGTTTTTTTCGCACGTTCACAATCCCACTACTAAAGTAAAAAATAAGTATAAGTAAAGTATCTGCCTATACATACTCCACAGCTCGGCAAAGGACTCCTCTGTACAGAGGGTATCAGGGCATAGTCCACCACGCGGCTCCATTGCGGATTGGTGGACATCGCATATCTTCAAAATATTTTTTCATTTATTATTACTTCGAAAATATGCAGGTTTCCTCACGATGCCTTATCCCGTTTGCAATTCTATTTTGCAGTAATTCTTTTGCCATATCTGAAGAAGTTGTTACCATTTATGATAATTCATATATTCAACATTGAAATAAACAATTACTTGCGAAGCCATGACTACTTATGTTTTATGTTACATTGTTCCATTCGTTTCGAATGATGAATATCGTGCAACTTGTGTCATTCAATTGCACGAATAAATATGAGCTTCCACTTTGTTGCATGTTATTTAACGTAAAAGACTGCGATGAATCTTTAACATAATCGAGGTTTATACCTCGATCCTTAATACCAATAATTTACCTAAATGAAAATATGCATTAAACGTTTAAAAAAATAACAAAGATCGATCTACTTGTAGTATGTTCAATAGGTTCGTATTTTTCCAGATGTAGAAGTGGGCTTCTTATAATACTAGCTTACCGGCATATGTTCCATTACAAGCCTTCTTTCAAGTACTATCAACGAGTATACAAAGTTTCAACTTGAACGGTTTATGCCTATTTTAAAATTTTTTATTTGGAAAAAAAAAGAAGTAATTAGTAACTTCGATATAAATACCTTGAATGATATTGTTCTAGGTAAAAATTAAAAGGTGAAAAATTAAACAGGTGTAGATTATACTAGATCAATTAAAACTACGCAATTTTTACGTATCCATATTTATTTTTTATTGATATTTGTTCTTGTAATCAAGACACTATATAAAACTTCAAGCATATGTATGCATCATGTAGAAAGGCGAGGGTTGTACGATCTTGAAAGGCCCTACCTTAGCAGTTCCGCATGTGGATATGCGTATGTCAAAAGTTATTCGTTGTCCGGGAGTGGCGAGAACCAGGTCAATTATATTTTGATATCAAGCTCAAAACTACAAGTCTTTGCGTTTGATAAACATAAATACGGAAATTTAGCCTTTCTTGTTTGTGCGAAGCGAAGAAAAACTGTTGCGTGGCAATTTACAACTATCACGGCTCATGAGATAGAGCCTGATGACACGGACCGAAAGACAGACAGACAGCGGAGTCTTAGTAATAGGGTCCCGTTTTACCTATTGGGTACGGAACCCTGAAAAGCGTACTGGATGAAACCAATGAATATTAATTATTACACACATGTATGATTTATATAAAACCCTACGCGTCTTTTCAGTTGTCTCACATTGCTATGCGCAGAGGAATGCATCTTTACCCTTGTCTCCTGGGAGCTTCCGGAATATCCTGCGTTCTTTCGTATCGGGTGAGTAGAACAAAATATTTACTACTATCCTTCTCTTTCCTATGTGGTGTATACAGGTGTACTTTTATTTTTCGAAAAACATATAGTGGCAAAACTATGTGTGTTTTATGTATGGCCGCAATCTGTCGAGCCTTTTTAAAATTGATCATTTATCGCAATTGTTTAATGACGAATAAGCAATTATAAAAATTAACAAAAAACGTATGAACTGTATTAAAAAATACCTATTATATTACACGTTACGAAACAAACCTATTCCATGTGACGTGGACCCAAGAATGCTAGCTGTATTTCTTTGCTGAATAGACCTTCTATTCAGCAAAGAAATACATAATATTTCTATCACCAGGCACGACAATAGGCCGAGCGCGAATAATATACCCCTTGAAGTCCATTATGCGGCAGCTTGTGTTGAAATGTCGTGACGTCACAAGTCTGGACATTGTGTAATGCAAATTTGAAATAATGACTAACCACAGGCCCAGTGATGGAATAAAATAACGTGAAGAAACATGACCATCTTAGAGATTTAGTAGGTATTTTGTAGCGCTAATAACTCGGCCTTTGAACAAGGAGGCTTTTGTCCAGCATTGAGGCGTAATTCACTTCTATGTACATGTGATGATGTTGCTATTAGCGTGGTTGGCAAGTGATAAACTTTTGCGCATAAATTCCTGGTTCGATGCTTGCATAAGTCAGTTATTTCTTTTATCTATAGATATAAACCAAAAATTGTTATGAACTGTTTTCCCAAGTAATAATATCCTTACTTCCTTACTAATATTATAAACGCGAAAGTTTGTATGTATGGATGGATGTTTGTTACTCTTTCACGCAAATATTACTGAATGGATTTTAATGAAACTTTACAATAATATAGCGTATACATCAGAATAAGACATAGGGTATAATTTATATACATATTTTATGTATATCTGTCATTTTGTATGAATGTTACGCCTTCAGCCTATTCAGCATACACAGGCGTAGTCGCTGGCAGCGGCTTGTAGTACAATATTTTAAACTTCACGCAAATTTGATAGTAAGATAATGAAATCATACCTACGTGGTAAAGATTCTCAGAGGTTTACGCAATTGCTTGCACGGGCTGGCTCAAACTAGGAATAAAGGCCTTAGAAAAACTGTCATAATAATCGCTCCTTATTAAATTAGGTATTTGTTTTCGTTTTTCAGTACCACGTGGGAGGCAGCTGAGTTCATCGGATGTCCGAATCCTCTACTATGGGTAAGGAAAATTTTTATTCACACTCAATTTGAAATTATTTAGTTTTACAAGGGGTCGTTCTACAACCGATGCTGGTGTAGAACTGATCAAGCATATATCTGAAGCTTGGGACAGTTTACAGGATGCTCTGGGTGTCTTTTGTGATCTTTCCAAGGCTTTTGATTGCGTTAATCATGAAACACTTATCAGGAAATTACGCCACTATGGCATTAAAAATACCGCGCTTGACTTGATTAAGTCATATTTATGTAAAAGAATTCAGAAAATTGTAATTAATGGTGCTAGTTTTTCTGGGTCGATGATATATATGGGCGTTCCGCAAGGCTCGATTTTCGGCCCATTCCTTTTTCTCGTTTATATTAATGATTTACCCTACTTAGCGAAAAAACATGACATAGTGTTGTTTGCCGATGATACTTCATCAATCTTTAAAATCGAACGACGTATTGTAACACTTGACGATGTAAATCATGGTATGTCAGAAAAAGCTCACTGGCTTAATGCTAATAATTTACTTTTAAATGGCAATAAAACTAAACGTATAAAATTTTCGACACCTAATGTTAAACACTTGGGTGGTACCAATGTACTTATAAGTGGGGACGAGTTAGGCCTTGTGGATACCACTGTTTTTCTTGAAATAACTCTTGATTCAAAGCTTCAATGGGGCCCCCATATATCCAAACTTGCGAGCAGATTAAGTTTCTGCAGCATATGCTGTAAGGAAAAAAAGATGTCTGACTGATGTAAATACAGCTAGAATCGTTTATTTTAGTTATTTCCATAGCATAATGTCTTACGGTATTTTGCTATGGGGGCATGCAGCCGATGTTGAAACAATATTCATTTTGCAAAAGAGGGCCATAAGAGCAATTTACAATCTAAATTTGAATGTATCTCTGAGAGAGAAATATCGCATAAACCGCATAAAAAAAAAAAAAGAGAAATTTAAAGAAATAAATATTTTAACCTTGGCCTCTCAATATATACATATGAAAATGTAATGTATGTACATAGAAACATCAATAATTTTAATAAAAATACTGATGTACATAATGTAAACACTAGGAACAAACACAAGCTTGTAACGCCAGTTACTAGACTCCATAGAGTCAGTAACTCGTTCATTTTGTTGTAGATGTTATGTGAATCCCAGTTAATGTGCAAAGCCTATATATTGGTTTAGGAAATTTATTAAAGAAAAACTTTTTAAAAAGGGTTATTACAATATACAAGAGTACACTAACGATAATAACCCCTGGGAATGAGATGATCGCTCCTAAGCTGTTTCTAAATAAATAAAAAAATTGTATTTTATAATAATGTATTTTTGTTTGAGAAAAAAAAAATATGACAAAAAAGAGGATACCTACGGAGTTTCTTTCGCCTGTTTCTTCTCCGCTAGAGGAACCTCCTTACGAAACGGTGGTAGATTAAAAAATGACTATCGATAGATGAAATGTATATTTCTTATTTCGATGAAAAAATTATTTAAATTTGAATTTATTGAAATACAAATTGACATACCTATAAAACTTTTGTATAAATCCCAAGCCTATAAAATACTGGCATTTTTTCAAACAAAAACCGGCCAAGTGCGAGCCGGACTCGCGCATGAAGGGTTCCGTACCATTATATATAAAAACGTAAAAAAAAATCGTGTTTGTTGTATGGCAGCCTCACTTGAATATTTTTTTAACCTGTTTTATAGTATTTGTTGTCATAGCGGCATCAGAAGTACATCATCTGTGAAAATTTCAACTGTTTAACTATCACGGTTCTTGGGATTCAGTCAGGTGACAGACGGGCAGACAGACAATCAGAAAGCGGAGTCTTAGTTATAGGGTCCCGTTTTACCCTTTGGGGAAATCTTTAAAATGCTTTTGACCACCATTTCATTTTGTCGATTTTTTTCTAGGCGGGTTGGTCTTGATTTGTAAACAGGCGGATATTTTTTTTAGTAGTACGCAATTTAAATAGTAATATTTATTAAAAATAACGAATTTGTTTTCAATTTAACCATGAAAAGGTGTAAAAAATTCTTGCAAATATTACAGGCAAAATTCAACGAAGCCCGCGATATACCGATATGCTAACATCAAAAGTCTGCTACAAGATTCAGCATTCGAAATGGGCAAGCCGACGGTTCTTTACATTCATGGGTGAGTGTTGACATTGTTCTTTATGTGAAAAGTTGGTAAATGAGTAGGCGGTTCACCTGATGTTAAGTGATTAACGCCGCCCATAGACATTTTCAATGGTTGAGGTTTGTAGATTTTTCTTGGTTTAGTTTTGTGACTATTTTGGTTTGCAGATTATCTTTGACAAACTTGGCTCCGGCCAAAGATGTTTAAAAATACAGATGACGCATGTTTAAAAATGTTCCGCTTTACATTACATGACATATGCGATTGAATGTGACAGATGATATAGAACGTATGGTACGGAAAGAGATAGCGGTCTATAGAATTACAACATTTGGCGTAATTTGAGCGCCTCAGTTTTGGTGTGCTAGTGTCACCTCTATCTATCTCCTATTTGAATATATACTATCCTCCTCCTATTTGTATATAATATCATCTCCTATTCTACCTCCTATTTGTATATAATATCATTGGCTCCGGCTAGCTTACCAGAAAAAACGCGAATGTATAGTAATTTCACTTCACGCTGCTCTTCTGTGAGGCTGTGGTATTTGCCGGGCCCGCATTGAGGCTTGGTTAGGCTGAACCAAGGGATCTCAGTCTTGCGGTCTCGGGCTCATAGAATAGAATTTTCTTCATATATATTTTATTCTTGTAAATTGAATTAAAGTGTAACTTGTTATTTCTGTGTCTGATTCTACGTGCATAAAATCACTTGAAACCTGCAGTTTACGAATAGCAATTATATAAATGAAATATTTATTTATTTACAATTCTCGTACGTCTTTTTTATTGAAGTTGGGGGGGGGGGGGGGATACATTTCCTATTAAACATATACCCCGAAATTTCCCTAGTCATTGATCGCTGGAAGGCTATGACAGCATTTATTTTAAATTGATAACCAACACTAAATTGCAGATACGTTGAGAAAGCGAGTGATAACAGTGTCCTGACCGTGGTCAGGGCTTACCAGAGGCACGGAGGCTACAACCTGCTCGCTCTTGACTGGAGCAACCTGGCCTTTGGGAGCTACGTCAATGTCGTACTGGGATTGCAGAAGGTAACAGCGGGAAACTTGTACAATAGATTCTCTATGGTATAATAACAAAAAAGTAATAGGAGAAGTTAAGCAAATTCATCTTACAACATATCACACTTCCTGGTGCCCACTTATGAAATTTTGGGATACGGTGTACTCGTTATAGTAGTAACATAATGTCATTATGAGGAGATTTAAATTTAAATTAAACGCCACAATTACCATATAAAACCTCTTCATCAAATATAACTTATTTATTATTTTTAAACTACATTAGTTTAATTTTAATTTATTAAACTAATTTTAATTAAAGTGAACAGATTTTTGCGGGGTTATTGATTTGTGATTTGAATCTGAGGTCTGATTAGAGTGGCCTGCATTCGAGGCCAGTTTTCTTAACATAGTATACTTAACGATAGTTATCTTTTTCTGCCCGGTTAGAGTTTAAAGACTTTAGAATTGATTTCTTCTCAGTTGGGCGAGGAGACTGGAGTGGCTTTAGCGAAGCTGCTCAAAGGCGGGCTGCCCATCGACAAGTTGCATCTCGTTGGACACTCCCTCGGCGCTCATCTCGGCGGCATCAGCTCTCGGTACCTTATGTCCTTAGGCTTCAAGGTTCCGAGGTGAGTGACCTTCCGCTGTTCTTTCTATCTTCGATTCATGTGAAATAATTTAAGTACGATCACGAAACGGTACAAAGTATGATGGCCGTGATATAACTACGTGTTATAACTGAAACGAAAAGTGTGTCAGGTACGGTGGTAAGGTATCGTACATCCTTTCATATGGTTGACCCAGATCAACTAACAATGTTATCTGACATGGCTCACAACGCTGATGTAGTTGCATATCAGTTGCCAACCCTGAACCCTATTTAAATCTCAAAGGACGCCAATTTGGCTTTGAAAAGATGTTGAAGTCCTATTGATTGGCGTAGTGTTTAGTACAACTAGTCTACTGACCGAGAGGTTGTGGGTTATCACCCACTACTTAATAAGTATTGTGTATTTAACATGCTTTTTCGAGTTTCCGGATGTTCACATATCTGTATTATGTATATATTTACAAAAGTCAAGTATTTTTATCAGTTACTTAGTTCCCATAGTACAAACTTTGCTTAGTTTGGTAGTAGATAACGTTGTGTAGAAATATGCCCATAAACATTTATTTATTTACTTTGACGTTTTAAAAAATTGGTCAAAAGTGTCATAGCATCTAGTAACCATGTCTTAATTTATCCAAGGGCAAAGGTCAAAGCATCCAGTTTCTTAAATTATTCAAGGACAAAGGTCTTGAAAACGGGTTTCTCTCCCGTTTTATTTGTGTCAAATGATATTTTTAATAGAGTACAAAATTCTTTACATATTTTGTTGTAAATTTTTCGATTTTTTTGTTGATTTATCGTCTTCGAGGTAACGCGAATATTGAGTATCGCTCAGCCACACAGAGCATAATGCAAGGTCAAACGTCAATCCTAATGAATACTATCCTTACTAATATTATAAAGGCGAAAGTTTGTATGTATGGATGGATGTTTGTTACTCTTTCACGCAAACACTACTAAATGGATTTTAATGAAACTTTACAGTAATATAGCTTATACATCAGAATAAGACATAGGCTATAATTTATATACATATTCTTATGTATATCAGTCTTTCTGTCTGAATGTTACGCCTTCAGTCTATTCTACGCAGACGTAGTCGGGGGCAGCAGCTAGTGGTTCTATAAAAGAACAAACACTTTTAAACAGCATTGTGTATGGACGCGTGTATGACTGAATGTATGAAATTTTCTGCTTCTTTCTTCGTTCTTTTTAAATATTGTAATTATGTTCTATCGAGGCTTGATGATAAGTGATTGCCATTATGGACCAGCGTCGGACTCAGGTGAGGTATTTTTTGTGAAGTCGTCAAACGAGCAAGCGGTTCACCTGATGTTAAGTGATTACCGCCGATCCTGGACATCTACAACATAGGTTCGCAGATGCGTTTACAACCTTCATAAAAAGTGGGCCCACGTTACCTCACACAGCGGACGAAAGGCTTCCATACTAAGCTTTGGTATAACACTTTTACTTCACGCTGGTCTTCTGTGAGGTCGTGGTACTTGCCCACGAGCTTGTCCACTTGTGTAACAGCAGAAGTTGTCGCTTGTGCTTACCGCAGGTACTTACATAATGATATAATGAGAAAATGGTGTCTCTGAGATTGTGGCACCTACAGTCGACCTTCAATATCAAAAACTGCTGTCTAACTCTATCTCAGTTGAACTCTATATCTTAGTGTGTATACATCGTAGTGGCAGTGGCAGCCCAGTGACCGAGATCTCGCACTTGCGAATTAATTTCCTAATCAATTCTCACACTCCTCAAACCTCCTTCTCCCTCTCCATTCCTCAAACTTTATGGTATACTTGCGCTATTATTATCTGTATATATAAAAATGAATTGCTATTCGTTACTCTCGCTAAAACTCGAGGACGGCTGGACAGATTTGGCTAATTTTGGTTTCGAAAGGTTTGTTGCAGTCCAGGGAAGGTTGGAGATGGACGATGAGAAATTATGGAAAAATTGCATGGAAATTCGAAATGTGGCAAAACAAGGTTTTCCGGCCCAGCTAGTATACCTAAATTTTTTACGCCTTAAGATGTTTTCGTTTACCTCCGGCGTGTTCTCAGATTGACCGGACTGGATCCCGCTTACCCTGGGTTCTATCCAGCCCTGTTCTCCAAGCCCTTAGATCGTCACGACGCAAAGTTCGTGGACATCATCCACAGCGACGGCGGGGGCTTCGGAGCGCCCCTGGCTATAGGGCATGCGGACTTCTGGCCGAACCACGGCACCGCCAAGCAACCCGGATGCCCGCCCCTCACTGTGCCCCTCACCATCGAAGGTCAGACTCCAGGGGAAATCCCTCCAGGGGGAATCCCTGTTGAATCATTTATACCCACACACTAATGAGGATATCCACCTTCTAGTCTTTTCTATTTTCATTTTTAATGCTTTATTGTAAAACCTCAAAAAAAGGATTAAAATAGGCTGACTTAATGCCATTGTCTGGAAGATAATGCTATCTTCCAGACAACCCGGGAATGCAATAAATACCGACGGATACATCCAAGTGTGCTGCTAAAATACCTTTTTTTATGAGAGAAGGCGGCAAGCAAGCTGGCGCTTGTATTTTTATGTACTTGGTTGGTAAGCTCGTTTAAATGAATAACTTTCCACCAATGAGATCGCCGAAATATATTGCAGACTTCTGCAGCCATTGGCGCTCGTGGCGGTTCTGGGCGGAGTCGGTGGAGGGGGGCCAGTTTTTGGCGCGGCGCTGCGACGGTTTCGACTCGTTCCTGCGCGGACGCTGTCGGGACGCAACCGCTGTGCCTATGGGGCTAAACGCCACGCCAGAGTGAGTTACATAAAAGCGTTTGCTTAAAATCTGTACATACCGTATATTAACGTTGTAGCAAAAAGTGATTTTTTATTTTATTGTTTTCGATATTGTATTTTATTGTTCCTATGTTCTTATATTTGGTGCTATTATCATTCTTATTGTTGTTTTCTAAAGTAACTGGACTGGACTTTAATTTCTGACTTCGGTTTCACGCTAAAGGTTTCCTTCTATTGCTGAGCGTAATTTATCATAGAATTACAACTATTTCATTAGTACTGGGCTTGAACGTTTCTTGTTTCAACTTTTGATTGCTCGAGTATGATGATGTTGGAATAGATCGGCTAGGCATTGAGGATAATCATACGATACTGTTAGTTAATAATAAATAGAACGGTAGACATATTCCGCTCTAATAAGCAGATCGAGCAGAATTTAACGGTGGTATGGCCACGCAGCAGCTTCGGCTGTTGCACGAATGGGCAGGCCCGTCCGGGGAAGTACCACGACCTCACAGAAGACCGGCGTAAAGTGGAAGTATGACAAATACTTTCGCGTTTCGTCTGGTGAGTGAGGTAGCCGGAGCCCAATTTTCAAAAGGTTGTCAACGCATCTGCAAACCCTCGGGTGTGGCGGATGTCTATGGGCGGCGGTATTCACTTAACATCAGGTGAACCGTCTGCTCGTTTGACGACTTTTCGCATAAAAAAAAAGATCCTTCTAAAAGCAGTCCGAAGTCATATTTATAATGTTTGATATTAAAGAAGCTCATAAACAAAACCGTTCTAAAGCGCGAGTTTTTGCTGCTGGTCATATTAATAATATTCTTAATTAATCTTTCAGCTTACGAGGCAACTTCTACCTAAGAACAGCTGCGGGACCGCCTTTCGCTTTAGGGGAAAGAGGTGCCGACTAAAGCTAAGTTCTACTCCAAAACTCGCCTTTACCAAATAGGTGCCAAAAACTACTAGATCATAAAAGCGACGAACACGTGGGAGTAACATTTGGGAATTCGCCGAAGAGAAACTATTTATTTGTTATGTCAATAGATATTTAATATTTATCACTAGTTATTAGATTAAAACTAAGATACGTCGTCATAAAGTCTTTCAATCGTCCTCTATGCTGTCTGGTAAAGTTGTGCCTTTGGTCTCGGGGAGCAACAGGCATACGAGGCCGGCGGCGATCGGCGCAAAGCCGAATATCAGGGTCGGCAGCCAGGGCACGGTCAGCGACAGGTTGGATATGAAGGGGGCCACCATGGACCCTACCCTCATGGACATCGAGCTGGAGCCCATGGCCATGTTCCTCACCACGGTCGGGAACAGCTCGGACGTGAAGATGTATATGGCCGCGGCGACGATCGCCGCGCAGCTGACCCCCAGAGTGCCCAGGGTCAGGGTGAGCCAGAACTTGTCGGGGACCACGCCCAACGCCACGACGCAAATGCCGCCCAGCGCGAAGAACAACGCGGTGGTGATCTTCCTCCCGAAGTTCTTTATCAGCCATATCGACAGGAGATTCGACGGGATCTGCGGTGGAGGGATGTTTGTTTCAGTGTAAGTGTATCGGACAATAGTAAATATGAAGTCCTTGAATTTATACAACTATACATATAATATTAGGATAAGAAATCATCGTGTGGAAACCTGCGTATTTTCGAAAAAATAATAAAATATTTCCAAGATATGTGAAGTCCGGCAAACCGCATTGGGGATGCGTGGTGGACCATGATGTACACAGGAGGCATTTGCTCGGCAGTGAACATATCAAACAGAAATCACGGTCAGTCCAGAACTTTGTTATAGCAGCTATGATTTATTTGATAAACCTTTTACAGGATACCTTCTAATCCGACGTATTGGGGACTAGTTACTACTGGTCAATAAATAAAAATAGTCAATATAACAAAACATAAAGGCAATAAATAAAAAAATATCCGCAAAGTTTATCCTTACTATCCTTACTAATATTATAAACTCGAAATGTTGTATGTATGGATGGATGTTTGTTACTCTTTCACGCAAATACTACTGAATGGATTTTAACGAAACTTTACAATAATATAGCTTATACATTAGAATAAGACATAGGCTATAATTTATATACATATTTTATGTATATCTGTCTTTCTGTCTGAACGTTACGCCTTCAGCCTATTCTACGCAGACGTATTCGTGGGTAGCAGCTAGTTACAAATAATTTTCAAAGTTCCTGCAATTAACCTTGTTTAAGTTTACTTCTTGATGAACATCCTTCTCCGTGAATCCTCTAGTTTTAAATTTACGTTTAGTTTCGGCATATTTAACGGGCGTATCCAATAGTGTTTACATTTATTTATTTATTTAGTCCTTTTTCCTTTAATTTTCTTTAATACGGAACACAATAGGCGGCCTTAATGCCTTTAGGCATTTTCTGCCAGTCTACCTATGGTGTCAAACTGTCTTTTATTTTAATATTTGTCTTTATCTTTAGAGACAGGTGCAATAATAAAACTAACCAAAATTAAATTAGAAAATAATGATCAATTCATTTTTATGTATATAGAGAAGTACTTAAAAATGTACATATATTTAAAAATTAAAATATATAATTGATATCAACTGATTCATATCCTAAGGAATATGTTCAAAATTTCATTGAGCTATAGAAATTCCTTTAAATATTGAATCTTGACGAAATCTATGGTAGTAGATGTGAAAGATCAAGGGGCTAGTCATTCTATAACAGTTTTATGAATACAATGAAGTGTTGGGTATTATTAATGATTATTAATATACTTCCTGCTTCGTTATCGAATCAATCTCAATAATAAGGTTACTGGGAAGGCAGCTCTTGCATTTGCGGAAGTTCCTCAAAGTGACAACGATTAAGCAGAGAGGAAAACTCATTATCATTAATCCTCCCGTCATTGGATAAACAATAAATAATGTTGTAACGAGTTTTTGAATAATTTAAGAATAAATTTAAATTTCTCTTTTGAACAATTTAAAGTAAATAACTGTGGTTTGGCCACGCACCCGTCTTCATTGTAGCACACTTCCACTTCTTCTCTAAGTTCGTGGTACTTACCCGGATGGGCCTACCCATTCGTGCAACAGTCGAATCTGTTGCGTGGTAGTACCACAGTAACACATTTTGCTGTACGAGATGGGCCTGACAGATGGAACATGTTATAACTGGCCTGCCCTAACCTGGATCGCGCCCGCTGCTGCGACGCTTACAAACGGATCTGGACTAGTCTGGCTGATGTATTGGTTGAACCCGAAGAAGGTCAAACCGCTGATCATCCACATGGCGCAGCAGCACAAGGTCTTCAACCGTAACGACTTGTGGAACAGCGCCGTATAGTTTAGCTTGGGGCCGTCAACGCTTGTCTGCATACTCTGGGCCATTTTGGTCAAACTCTCTTCCACCTTCGTCGTCGGTCGCTTGTTCCTGAAATTATTATAATTGACTTGTAATCCTTGCACTAATTTCAATAAAATTTTAATAATCACGTTTCATATAACGAGGCACTGTTTTCAGTTTTTCTTTTATCGTTATTAGCCCTAAGGTACGAGGAAAGTTCAATGTATTCTAAGAATAGGTATGAAAGAGTATGCTGAAAATTTAGAACAAAATTGATTAAACTCCTTGCAACACTAAACTCGCACTTTTTTCAAAAGCGCCGTGACCATTCACGGCATCCATATCTCTCTGTATCTCTGTATCTTTGATGACTCCGTGGCGCAGTTGCCAAGGCTTCGGCGTCGGGGTTCGTGGGTTCGATCCCCACACGGGACAACTATTTGTGTGACCCACAGATAGTTGTTTCGTATCTGGATGTTTGTCCGCGTGAAATTTATGTTTGTAAAAACGTCGTTACAACACAGGATAATGTTATCCACATCTGTGAATGGTACCCACGGATAGTTTAGTCTTTTCTGCCAATGAACTTAATTAATGAGATAATTACCCTCATCATTAATATATCACCCCGATATCGAGAATGAATTGAACGGCCCTCGTATAATTAAATTTTATTTCAACCCAAATGCAAAGTCGATTAGGTCTGGGTGAAATCAGAAGATTAGTGCAGCAGCTTAGGGCAAATTGATTGGTTCCAATCAATCATCTTCCGTAATTATACTTTCGCATTCGTCTGATGCGTGAGCTCAGCGGTTCTTATCCTTTTAAATATTGGCAACGCAATTGCGGTTATTACTTAACACCAGATGAGTCGTTCGCTGATTTTCAATCTTCTCTCGTAACAAATTACCCGTCAAAAGTGTAAAGACGTCATCCACTCCGTCGTGAGTGGACGGTGTTTTTTGTGTTAATGAAAATATATAATTATGTGTATCGTCATTTACATTTCGCAAGCTCTCTTCACGATCTTCGTGGCCTCCTCCACTCGGCCGACGCTCACCAGCCACCTAGGCGACTCGCTCAGCAGGAAGAAGTAGCCCAGGTATATCAGCGACGGCACGGCCAGCGCCAGGCTGTAAGTGTCCCAACTCCTGAAGAAGTAGGCGAACAGCGGGACCGTCATGTGGCCCACGATGAAGGGTATTTGGAATAGGCAGCCCAGTATCTCCCTGTAATTGGGCCCGGCTGTCTCCATGACGAGAACGAAAGAGACGACCATAGTCCCCGCTGTCGCCATTCCCAGAAAGAAACGGAGCACCGTGAAAGTGACGTAGTCTGGAGAAAAAGGGATGGCGAATCCCAGCACGATGAGAGACGATATAGACGTGAGGAAGGTGTTCTTGCGGCCATATCTGAAATGCAAAAGGAAATTGTTATAGAACTAATTTTAACGCTTTTAATTTGTAGTTAAAACTACAGAGGCTTTATAATTATAAACGTAAAGCTTTATAATTTTAAAGGTATCGTTTCCGTAATCTGTAACGGCATTTATTTTTTAAAGAGTTTGATAATTTGATACAGAGTTCTGTTTTTGGTGAGTGGTCTATTTCAGTAATCGATTTATCGATTCTTTGACGCCACCCTGATTTTACCAAACACTCATATCTCAAAATACTCCACCGGTATTTTGAGATATGCTTTAAAAAGAAATTACCTCCATAGTCGTAAAATAAAATATGATGTGTTCTAAAAAACTTAATCCGTCACTACAGATAAACAAAAATTTACTACAGCTAAAACAAAATCACTTTGAAGGCCAGACAAAAATGAATTTCTTTTTTATTTCCCTTGGCACATATTTCTTTATCGTTAAATGCTAACTCTATTGTATAGATGTAACACATTTAAAGTATTACTGGCATTAATATGTATAAACAGTTATACGTTTTAACAGTTTTGTTATTTATTGTGGTAACATTTTGAACAGGAAAACATTATGAAAAATTAAAAATATGTGAAAGCAAAGTGAATATAATATATCGCGTATACATATACCAGTAGTATCTAATACCATTATATAAAAAATACAAACACTCATGTTCACACTCTTGAGAGGTTGTTGGACATATAATCTTATCAAGTTGAGCCTATTAATTCGCCGTTTCGCTGGTACAGTGGAAAAGATTTAGCGGTAGTGCGTAAGTTGTTCGACAAACCAGTTTACAGTTTCTTATTAAGGCCCATTTACATGATGCCAGTTTCTTGCCTGTTGTATACAATTAAATTGAAGCAATAAATGAGTTGCATGGTCTAAACAACAAATGGTCTAAACAATTATTGCGCGCAATTTATTGCATTCAATTATTGCTCTTATATGTTCAAGAAAATGGCATCGTGTAAATGGGCCTTTACTCTCGATTTTGTGGAATCAACCCGGCCACGAATTCCTCGTACAAATTGATTTCATAAAGACACACACATTATAGAAGTTATAAAATGATTGGCTTATATAAAATCGAAAATGATTAAGTAATTAGGCGCTTGGCAAATATAAGCCTTTTCGTAAATTCTCTATATAATATTTTAGATTATATTTTGTTGTTTATAATCAAATGGTGATTCCTACTCATTTAACTGATTATTATTTTTTCTTTTGTTTCACTTAAGTTATTCTTGAATGGCATCATTCCTTCCACTAATTATATAACCAGGCTTAATCCAATATAAAACTGTCGCAAAACTTTTCGATAGAATTATGTCCACACATATTTGTATATTTTATCTTAAGTGCAAAGACGCACTAGAATATTTAAAATTAAATTTTAATATCTCTTTATTTTTGGCGAGGATGAAAACGGTCCTTGGATTAAATGAGCCATGTATAAATTGAAATGATTGGTACTAAATCACGACAGGAAAAACAAATGATTCGCCGTACGTGAATGAATTAGCCGTTACAAAGCGAAGTCGTTATTAAATTATTTTTACGACTATTCGAAACTATTTTTACGAATTTATCACGTTCATTTTTAATTTTAATTCCCGACGTTTCGAAACCTTTACAGCGTTCATGGTCATGGAACTGAGGATCACATTAAATTAATGAAAAATTAAAAAGAATAAATGAATAGTCTCTTCACGAAGACTAAGTATTATATATTGTACATTATATATAATGTATTATATATATTTGACCGCTGTTTATAATTCTAGAATTGATTTAGATTTTTTTTGTCGATTACTTAATTTAATTTATTTAGAATTTTATTTTTGTCGGTTAGCACCTTAGATTCGATAGATGTTTTGAGGCATCTATTTGTATATCCTATAACAGTTTTTACGGATTTCTTTGTCAATTTACAGGACAAAAGAGTACATGAAGAAGAATTATTCAAGAAGGTTGCTAGATAATTGCAAGCGTTATACCAATTGAATCGAATCCTCATTAAATGCGCCTACTTTTAATGTAACTTACCAAACTATCTTAGAGTTTACATTTTATTTTCAGTATAAACAGTTAAAAATGGGCGATTTGAAAACTAGGTTACTACTTATGCTGGGGTACTTGGCTTAAATTCTTTTCGCCACAATTTACAGAAACGTTATTCAGGATTACGCAATAGCAAAATTAAGTTGAAAAACGTGTTAATACTTGGAGTAGCGGGAATTAAAATACCATCACAGGATGTAGATTTTGCCGATTTTTTCAATGCGCGAAATTTGGAAAATACTGTTGTTTTTTTTAATATTTTCAGATAACTGTTATGACTTCTGGTCAATCATCCGATTGAAGCATGACGTCTTCATCTGGGACAGCCTGAATAATGTGTGCCAAATGTGTCTAGAACTAATATTCGTTATGGTTCCACTGTGGGTCACACGCAGATCCTCCTATTGTACGAATGTACAGGCTCGTTCTGGAAAGTACAGAGCTTAACAGAAGTTTGGCGAGAAGTGTAATTCCACTTCTCGCCAAACTTCTGTTAAGCTCTGTTAAGTCGATGGATGCAGGTGGTTCAGGATTGTACTTCGTGACAGTCTATGGGGGGGCCTATTTAGAGCAGTGGACTCAAAGTCAAGTCTTGTCTGTTGAGATGAAGAAATAGCGACCTATATCTTCATCTTTTAGTTGGCGTACTTTAGCCTTTCGTAGTAAATACTGTTTATATTTCTATTCGAATTTAGCTTTCTCAGCTTATTCATACAACGAGCACGTTCCGCATAGATCTTTTTTGGTTTGTAAAATGTGTAATTATATTGTGTGTTAAATACAGATTCGTTTTGGCGTTTGGAGGCAAATAGTTCTGGTGTATATTGTTGATTTAGAAACCATGCGGTACACAGTCGATACATTTTAGCAAGGTGTAGTTACTCAGATAAATATTGGCGCTTGGATCTCTTACGTGTATTATGAGATTCAACAGATGGAATGAGCTGTTTCCATCTGTGTTCCATATGTGTCATTATATTTTTTTGACGGTCATCCTATGAGGTCTTTTGTAATGTGTTCCTCTGTTGTCTAATTAGGGTCTCGTCCTGCGCTATTTTCTCTTGAGCTGTAAAACTACCTGTTCTGTAATACGTAGTATAAAAATACAAAATACAAACTTGAATAGATGCATGGTCCTACTTAAAATAATATTAAATGGTATGTATCCTGTTATTTTTTCTTTCTAAAGTGATGCGTTTTACAGGTTGTGCTTGAACGTGTCTCACGATATATTGCCATTGGAGTTCATGATCTTTCAGTCTATAAAAAAGTGTCAAATATCGCCTGTAGTTGCTCCATAGAAAATGTTATGCCACAATCTTTTTGCATGAGCATGAAGGACCGATGTCTTTAGTAGCATACAGTTTTTTTGAAGGTGCACTTCATAAGATTCGCTGCTATTTTTGAGTCTTTTGGTCATCGTTTCCTAGTAAATTTTTTATTATTAGAATTAAAAACTACTTCAGTGTTTGTCTCAGCCGTGTCTTGCGCAATAGTAATCGCTGTCACACAGCATACACAGATATTAATCATAATATTAATATTATTTGCTGATATTTATTGCATTACTGCATATCACGTAAATTATACAGAGTTTTTAAAGTCTGTTTCATTATCAAGCGGATTGATTGTCTGAATTGAAGCCAACCCCGGTGAAGTTGCTGTATCCACTGGCTGGCATAGCGCTGCCAGTTGTAAGCATGCCGTGGCAAGCTCGCTAGAGAGGCCTAAGGCCTACGAACCATAAGCGGCACCCCCTACATGTGCATGAGCTCCCACCGCGAAGGCTGAAAAGTCGAAAAAGTTTTTAAAATATGTTGTCCCCCTCACAACCGAGCCCTCTCAAGCGAGATGCAGCATGTGGCGTATTCAAACTCCGCTTCCGGATCCCTTTGTCCCGCTTTCTGAGAGTCTTCCAGCTGGTCATAGACTACCTTGGCCAACCTGGAAGTCTTTAATTAGACTTCGGACTCAGGTTGGCCGAAGCAAGGAAAATATGTTCAGGTGGGGACTCTCAGAAAACTCAGAACTGGACTGTATGTGTGGAGCAGTACAGTCTATGGCCCATCTGATGTCCTGTCCTGCCTGCCCTTCTACCTGTTCGCAGCAGGATCTGATGGATGCCACGACGGTACGGTTTTACGGTGGTAGGGCCACGCAGCAGCCTCGGCTGTTACACGAATGGGCAGGTTCGTCCGGGTAAGTACCACGACCTCACAGAAGACCGGCGTAAAGTGGAAGTATGATAAATACTTTCGTGTTTCGTCTGGTGAGTGAGGTGACCGGAGCACAATTTCCAAAAAGGTTATCAACGCATCTGCAAACCCTCGGGTGTAGCAGATGTCCATGGGCGGCGGTACTCACTTAACATCAGTGAACCGTCTGCTCGTTTGGCAACTTTCCACGCGTAAAAAATAAAGAAAACAAATTGTGCTGTCGAAGTGGCTAAGTTCTGGGCTGAAAAGATATGATCTGTCATCGTCACGTACAGAAGAAGAAGAATTGTCCGAAGAATTTCAGTAATTACGACATCTTCAGTCAGTGCACTTGAAGTGGATGGCTGGATGTCTGAAAAAAAAAATGAAGTACAGGGACAGTATAAATTAGGTATTAACTGAATATTTTTTTTAAATTGCTGAGGCGATAATCCATCAATTTAGAAACTAGATTGGGCCTATGCCCAGTACTGGCCAGCAACCGGCTGAAATGATAATAATGATGAATACCTAGTCTTCATGTACAACAACTAGGTATCTCCCTCTTCACATGGTTGGCAACGGATTAGAGTTACTTACCTCTAAAACCTTCTCAAAGGCACCCGAGCCACGGTCATTTACGTAAGTTCATAGTTCTATTAGCCAAGCAGTACGTAAGCATATAGATACGTAAGTATATAAATCTTATAGGTACTTACCTTTAGGACATTTCAGTAAATCCAGAATTTGCCTAGGGGGTTTTTCAAAACTGTCTTTTTCATATTCTTTGTGATTTTATCGTATTCAAAATCACACTAAACACAATATTAATGTAAAATACAAAAAGAACTCGATAATTATGTAAGTAAGTACTTATTATAATATTGATACTGAGAGCGCATCACTTCACTACCTGAATATTTTTTGGTACGGATTTAAAGTAAACAAACACGGCGATTAACCAGCACGTGCCGAGTACTCGGTATTGCTCTATCCCTTTCATTATCTTAAGAAAAAAAGAAAGCGTTGCGTATTACTTGTGGCTCGTGGTAATAAAGAATACAGCAATCTTAATTTGAGTGGAAACAACGCCCCGGTAAACTTTTGCAAAGGTCATAACTGAATTTTTTTTAAATACAATTAAATGTTAACCAACATTACCACATTTTTCAAATAAAATTACTACAGGAATAGTATTGTCAGAATACTTTACTAGAACTCGAGTTTGCTCTTTTTTAGTGGAATAATATCGTTATAGTCAACATTTAAAACCTTATTTGTAGTGCAAGTAGTAATCACCAGTAGCGATTTTATTCATGTAAATAATTATACTAAACCTGTAACGGAATAATAAGGATATGGTTATTATATAAATGCTAGTTTCAAAATTACTCACAGGAAAAATGTGAAAAAGATTTACAAGATGTAAAAGGATGTCTACATGACGAATATGCAATAAAACCCAAAGTATCGTTATAACACATTACCATATTATTCGGTGGGAGGAGCGATATAATAATGTTAATATTATTAAATTATATCATTTAAAAAGAAAAATATTTTTTTGGCATTAGCGAACATTAAAACTAAAAAAAGATCAAGATTGTTAAATGTAGAAGACGATATGAGAGTAGCATTGTCATTTTTACGACCAAATATAAATGAAATTATCAAAAAACATCAAGCTCAAATTTCGCATTAAAAATATTTTTTTATTATTAGCTTGTAATTAATCCCTTAATAAACTTTTAGTTATTATTGTAGTATATATTAGTTTATTTCGTATATTTAAAATTTTTGTCATAAACTATTTATGCAGTGTGTTGTAGTAAGTAAATATTTTTTATCTTTTTCTTTGTGTGCCGCCAAATTTTGAAATCTTTAAATATGTGCCGCAACAAAAAAAAAAAGGTTGGGAATCACTGATCTAATGTTTACAATGAACATGATTTTTATGATTTCTTTCGCTGTAGTTGTCTTGGTCTTGATTTGTTTTGTTTCTGTTATTGGATTGTTTGATGAGAAACTAATAATACAGAATATAAATACTGTGTCGATCTATAGTTTAAGATTAAAGAGAGACACAAATGCTACTTTGCCATGTTATAAAAGAAATAGATTTTTTTAAAACCTAGGGTATCACTTAGTGTTCGTGAGCTTGCTTTTAATTCAGTGCACTTGACCGCCCTGAATTCAATACCTGATGCTGGCATCATATGTTCTGGTTTACCACTTCCTCGTCGATGTTAAAAACGATATTCGAAGTTGTTTGTATGCTGGAAAGGATATAACAATAGATGGCGCCAAGCATTGCTTCAAATGCTAAGAAAACAATGTGGAAGAATGCGTTAAGATTTTCGTCGGTGTGGTAATCAGCCGTTTAGCTCAGTGGCTAGAGCGTCAGGCCGCGAATGCCGAAGACATGGGTTCGATTCCCACAGCGGCGACAATCTTTTCGCACTTTTTCTACATATTTTAATGTTCAAATTAGTTAAACTTTGAGTCCGTGGGGTCTCCGTACATTGAAATTTTTGATAGGTTTACGTCCTGGACTTACCGCCGCGGCTGGTGACAAGAGAGCTGGTCCTTTTATCGCCCAAACGTTAAGCACAACTATTGAGCGAGGAAATGCAGCTAGCATTCTTCGCACCATGCCGCGTGCACTATGATTATTAGATAATATGTAATTTTGATAGATTAACGCCCGGTTTCTGAAACACTGATCATCGTAGATGTCAACTAATCAGCTGTCAAATGACCTTTCAAATTTCATTTTAGTTGCCAAAAGGATACTTAAACTCTCTGAATTGGCCAAAACGATCTTCTTAATTATCAGAATGATCAATTCAAAGAGTTTAAACATCCTTTTGGTAACTAAAATGACATATGAAAAGCCATTTGACGGCTGATTAGTTGACGTCTACGATGATCATTGTTTCAGAAACCGGGCGTTAATGTTGTGAATATTATTCAATAGATAAAGTTTAAAATAGATAAAGGTGAATAAGGTTAAAATTGATAAAGTAAAAAAATTAGACGCTCACCTATCTGAGAGGAATCCAAACAATATGCTGCCTAGCAACACTCCCAGCTGCAGCATCATCTGCGTGAAACTCGCGAGCCAACTTCTGCCGCAAACCAGATCCCACTCCGAGACTATCGTGTTCTCGAATGGGCTCGTGTCATACTCGTATCTCAAGCAGCCGCTGTAGCAAGTGGAGTTTTCGCCGATCGCCGAGGAGTTGGAGAACTCGCCGCACCGGAAGGTCAGCTTCGGCGTCAGGAACAGCACCGCCATCTGCACCCAGCCGGAGGAGAGTTTCACCAGGGAAACCGTCGAGCAGACCAGTATCTGCCACGCTCCTATGTGGCCCAGGATGCTCGCGAAAGCATCTTCCTTCTGGACGGCCGGCCGTGTGATTTGTGAGGTTAATTTGATCACCATTTTGTTTGTTGCGGCTTAAATCTGGAAACGAAAGGGTCGCACTTACAAAAAAATTAAATTTTTCATATATCCTCAATTGCAATAATGTTTGCCTGTATTTTTTCCCAGTACGTAAAATGTTTTAATCATATTACCGGGTAGATATTTAAATGCCATAGTGTTTAAGAAGTACATTCCAAATTCAAATTTTTGACTCAAGCTGGTTTATAGAGAAAAAAGTTTTCTATGCATTTTCTGTGGCGTATTACCGATAGTTAATTCGACTCCTTTTTGAAGTTTACATTTAAAAAGATTGTTCAGAGTTATTCCTACACATTTTATTTTAATATACTGTTTTAAAATGGAAGATAAAGTAAAAGCTAGCAATAAAATTGTTTTTATGCTTTGGTGCCCGTCTTTTATACAATTTATTTCATTTAAGGTTAAACGGGACTATTTTTGGTTTTATTGTAATCTGTATCTGATATACTCGTAAATAAGTTGCATATGTTATTGTGGTGTGGCCTCGTATCAGTTGTGACATCCAAACAGATAGGTATATGCATATTTGCGCTATGAAAATGAACCTTAGAGGATTGAAACGCTATTCCAAGTGTAAATAAAATATGTGCCTGAAATGGATTATATTTAGCAATCACGCTAATTACGTTTTATTTGATTCGCCGCTAAGTACTAGTGTACGAGCTTTGAAGTTTAATACTGCTGAAGTACGAGGTTGTTAATTTGGTACGTGGTAAAGGAAATACCACCTTTCTAAAATGGCGCCAACTTTGGAGCGACTTCTAACCAACTAGCCAACTAGGCGCGAAGCCTGTTTGCATTAATTTATGGAGGGTAGAGGTAAGGAGGGTTCATGCAATAGAAGCATTTAATCTATATATTGTTAAAAACTTTTCTTTTATACTTTTATTTTAAAAAAAACTACTAATTACTCAATCAATGATGACTCCGTGGCGCATTTGCCAAGTTATTGGCTTCGGCGTCGGGTTCGATTCCCACACGGGACAAATATTTGTGCGACCCACAGATAGTTGTTTCGCATCTGGGTGTCTGTCCTCGTGTAATTTATGTTTGTAAAAACGTCCTTACAACACAGGATAATGTTATCCTAAAAAAAAAAAAAAAAAAAAAAAAAAAAAAAAACAATGTTAAATTACGTTTCGATTGCATGAAATAAAAAGGCTTTTTATTTTCATTTTATTTTATTTATTTAGAGGTAAGGAGAACCGTCTCTGTATATTAAAAAGTGTCCGTCAGAACGTGTTAAATAATGGTGGCCCTGCGGTAGCGTAGGAATTTTTTTTAAGAAATCGCCAAAATTAATTAGAATGAGATGGAGAAATAAACAGACTGACAAATTTCCGCTTGGTTTTAGCGCACGTTTATTAATGCTTTTTTTGAAATATTTGCACTCGGCACACTTTACTCCGTCTACAACATCTAAGTTCATAAAGCAGTTTGTCATACACCAGCGCTATTCTGGAAGATGCTTGAATTTCTATTTTCAAGCATACAGCTGACACAAGACGGTTTTCCTTACCTCCACCCTCCATAAATTAATTGTAATAAATAATAATGCAGATTATATATTACGTTAGAATGAAAACAGAAGCAATACAATACCTTAATTTTTATTAATTAAATAAAATCATTTCGGGGATTATGTCGCGTCTAAATTTGGTTTTAATTAACGGTGTTTCTAACATTTTACAGGGTCCATATTCACGGGACAGACGAGAAGTTAAATGGTAGAATTCGACAAACATACATACATTAAAACAAAGTAAAAGTAAAGTAACAGCTTATAAAACGTCCCACTACTGGGCAAAGGCCTCCTCCGTAAAGAGGGTATCAGGGCATAGTCCACCACGCGTCTCCACTGCGGATTGGCAGACTTTACATATTTTCGAAATATTTTTTTATTATTATTTTGAAAATATGCAGGTTTCCTCATGATGTTTTCCTTCACCGCCGAGCATGTGATAATTCAGCACTTAAAATTAACAATTACATCGGTGGCGGCACCGGGGATCGGTATATATATAAACAAATAAATAAAATAAAACTTTTTATATTGTGCTATAAATATGTCGACGTTCAAGCAGGCGAATTAAACTAAGCATAACCAATTTATTTTTTCATTCGAAACTGTTCCGATTTCGATCTGGCTTAAAGCTAGTTTAACAAAAGTCCTTGAACAGTTAAAATGTTAACAAGACTAATGTTTGTAAGCTTAAAGTTGCAACTCTATGTTTTTTGTGTACTATTCGCCCGGTGTTTGCTCCTTTGCGTCATAGGGTGTGGGTTCGATCCCCACTACTGGAAAAATATTGTGTGATGAACATAGTGTTTTTCTAGTGTCTGGGTGTTTATACATGTATAATATAATATGTGAATTAATTACAAAAGAAAAGTATGTTTAAGTAAGTTTATCAGTTATCTAGTACCCATAGTACAAGCAAAGTTTGGGGAAAAAAAAAACTAAGCAAAGTTTGGGACTAGAAAACTTTGTGTGAAAAAAAACTTTGTGTCCTAATTCAATACATTTTTATTTTTTTAGGTTAGAAGTTAGTTAGCGAGCTGGCGATTCATCTGATGTTAAGTAATAACCATTTGCAACACCCGTGGCCCGTGGAGTTGCAGATGCGTTGTCAACGTTTGAAACTGGTGACGTTATCACATGAAGCTCAGAAACACAACACTTACACTTCACGCCGGTGTTCTGCGAGGCTGTGGTACTTCCGGATGGACTTGCCCATTCGTGCAACAACGAAGACTGTTACGTAGAACTACCACAGTTAAAATACATAAATAAACAATACTCTACTCGTGGTACCATTTTCCCTACATTAGACAAGTATTTGTGGTCAAAGAAACGCTTTTCCGATTCTGGAAGTAATTTGTGTCAGTTATTTCATGCTTGTGAAACTCTATGGTTGTTCCCTAGTACTGGAATTTTATTCAATTAATATTATTATTTAATTATATAATAGCTGGAGTAAAATAGGTTGGAAATAAAACTCTTTGTACGGATTATAGGTATTTTGTGTACTACAAAAATTTTCCATGAATATAAGTATCGAACACAGGATCTTCGAATAGCCAAGAATCTAATAAAATCGCGCAGTCAGTGTAACCTAGAACGCAGTTATCGTAAACAAGTTTTAAGAGTCGTTGGTGTTAAAACCGTATGATTTTCAGACAAGTTTCGCAAACGTGGCTTTGCATCGCTTTAACTGTCTGGATTTTTTTTTAAATTTCACGATTAATACCGTAAACAGAGTAGAAAAATCAACAATTTAAACTAAATTCAGTATTTAACTAAGAGTTACCTTTTCTTTTACCGTTTCCACCGTATTTATCGCTCTGGAGTGCACCATTAAAATAGTACGACTAGCTGTGCCCGCGACTCCATCCGCGTGGAATTTAAAATAAAAAAATCTAAAATAAAAGTCGCCTAAGTTATTCCTTATTACATCAGCTATCTGTCAGTGAAAGTCCCGTCCAAATCGGTCCAGACGTTTCAGAGATAAGCCGGAACAGACAAACAGACAGACAGACAAAAATAGTAAAAACTGTTATTTTGGTATATGTACCGTGTATACATCCATATGCATCTAGTAAAAAGCGGTAATTTTAATATTACAAACAGACACTCCAATTTTATTTATCTGTATGTAGTATGTATAGATATTATTGACTATCTGCGTTTCGTATGGTAATTCGTATGGTGGCAACGCATCTGCAACCCGACGGATGTTGCAAATGTCAATGGGCGGCGGATATTATTTATACCACCTTCTCACATTAAAAAAATCTTGCCATAATGTCATTTGTTGTTCATTGTTATGTAATAATTATGATATCGAGAACTGACATATTCCTTATAATACTATAGTTTGTTAAATATACGATGATACGCGGGACATTGACATTAAAATATTTTTATAAATATTAAAATATCGTTGTACTGTTTCAAATTAATTATCTGTTGAAATAGTAACATTGAGCAATTATTTTAAACATCGCATAAACATTTAATATTATATAGAAAACATGCTTAGAAAAAAATAAAACTTAGTTATACAATGTCTTAATAACATTCAAATGTGTTATAAATTTGCAAGTTACGACAGCGTTAAGAAATACATTGCTTCTATAATTACTTTAACGTGTTTAAAGCAAGAACTTCAGGATGTGTGAAAGTTAATTCTGTTGCCAATAGAGTGGATTAATATGCAAGAGAATTAGTGAGACGACCATGAGTAGCTAATCTAGTATCGGTAGTCTTGCTTACAGATAACACTTTAAAATAATTTTTGACTAGGGCCAATATGATTATACATTTAAAAATATTCAAAATACCTTTTTTAATAAATTTTTGAATACTTAGAGAGTGGGTGGGAATTGAGGGGCAACATTCACACTTCCTTTTTATACATATTAATATATAATTTAATATAGATATTTATTTAATGGGGTTAATTGATACATTTAATACTTGATGGTTGGCAGAAAATAGAAATTTTTCGTAAAACCATTTACTAACATTATTCCTTTCATTATTTTAGTTTCTTAATAAGCTATGTTACAATGTTACAATTCGTACCATGTGTATGATGTTTACAAGTTGAACTGTGAGAATAAAATTAACTTTTGTAGGTTAAGGATTAGTGGATGCGGCAAGGTCAGGCATACCGCATCTACATGTACTGTTATGTGTGTAGAATATCAATTTTTGTATCCAGTCGTGATCGTTGAACGTGTCTTTAAACAGTAGAATAAAATGTTTTACTGTTTTAGGATTCCATTCACCAGTTTATGTTTAAACTCAGTTAAGTTTGATGTATTATCAGGATATTAAAATAAAATCATGCGCTTTCTTCATGATCGCTCAGAGTTAATCGATGATGATTCTAATGAGAATTCATGATTATTTTAGTTTACAAGTATATTTTTTCCAACAAGAACCAAAACAGACTTCAAAAATACCCTTTTCT